GGGGGGTGGCGGGCGGGTGGGTATGGTATCATGGTATGATAGCAAATCTCCTAAACGCGTTTGGCACTGCTCAGTTCCTGCCATATTAGCAAAGCCATAGTTGGGTTGGTTTTTTTTTTTTCCTCCTCTCTCTCTCTCTCTCTCTTTTTTTCCCCCCCCCAAGCCCACTGAGGCAGAGATGAGGCAAACTCAGCCATAGGAAGGTGGTTAGTGATGTCACAAGTTTGGTCTTTTCAATAAAAGCAATAGAGAAGGGTCTCCCTCACTATATATATTGGAGAAGCTTCTGTTCTTCATAATAAAAAGAGCAGCAAGGGAGAAAAGCACCTGCTTTTAACACCCTTATTTAGCACTAATCTGTTGCAGGCAGAATAAAACCTCTGTAGGGCTGGATTCCTTTTGAGAAGTATTACTTTTTGATTTATTTCACTTTTTTTTTTCTTTTTCTTAAGGATAGAGCATAGTTTTGGAAGCGATTGCAGCGAAGATCAACCACTGTTGGCCAGGGTGATCTCTGAGAAGCACAGAGGGCTGTAACTCAAGGAAAAGGTGAAGTAATAAATTGTGAAAAAACTTCAGTATTCCAAGTTTATAAAGGCTATTTATTTTTCCTGAGTCTGTAAGGGTTGGGTTTCTTTTTTTATTATTTTTATTTCCGGGAGAAAGGAAATTCTAAAAATATTTGATGGACTTTTTACCTTTAACATCAGCAATAGACCTATGAGTGTGTGGGGACTCTTTTCAGGGGATGCCACAATTATTTTTAATTAGTCGAAAGGGCAGTGTAAATCAAAGAAGCCTATTAGCTATACATTTTAATTTATAGCCTACCAGGTGTTCGGGGAATTTATTTGCAGCATAAACGGTTTAATGTTTTCAGCATGATTTCTGTTTCAGCTCTTATGTTTTCGGTTTTATTTGCCTATGTGGTATGAAATTTGGCGAGGGAGCCGGGCTTTTAAACTGCGGCAGCAAGTGCCGTTTAACGCAAAATAACCTGCAGGTAGAAGAAACGGTTTGCTTTCCACCTAAACTTTCTCCAGACAGCGTTCCTTAGCGCGGGGAGAGGATGAGGAGGAGCAACCAGCCGGCGCACCTCCGTGTTTTGTTGCGGCTTGTGGGGGCGTCGGGAAAGCCTTTGCTGCAAAGCTGGGCTGTGCAGCGGCAGAAGCCGGAGACCCCTCCGTCCCTGGGGGCCAGCGGCGCTGCCGGCGGGCG